TGGAGGTTGAATAATGGAAAGTGAAAGGTAAATAAGGGTTTGCCTGAGTCTGTAGGGGAATGAACTGAGGGATGCACAGATATCAATAGAAACAAAGGGAAACCAGCCCCCAGAGACTGTGGGACTACATGAGACTTCAGGAGGCAGCACACTAGGCTGGTTCAGGACTGAGGTACAAGTACAGATGCAGAGGTTCCTCTTCATGGAAATCCTTTGGTTCCTCACACACAGAGTGGGTCTTTTCCATCAAAAGTGCTGTTGCTAGTTCTATGCACCTGTCAAGTCCACAAGGAAAGGGTTTTCACACTTCATAAATGAGGACAATGCAGCTCAGAGAGTGGACACACGTGACTGAAGTTACATGCAGGACAGAAGTAGAGGGAAAATCCTATCTAGCTCTCCTGAGTCCTCAGAGCCACCAGGGGAAGCTCCCACTATAGAAAACTACCTGTGTCTGATGGTGACAAACACATTGTGGGCCCTTTGCTTTGCCTGGTTTGTTGCTTCTTGCAAAACTATCCTGGGGCCAAGGTTCAGGGCCTACATTGTCCCTTCTCCTTACATAACACCAGCTTCTCCAGGGTGCTGAACACATGCACGGAAACCCTATTATCCTCTCCAACCTTGCATGGCATGCTTGTTCAGAGAGAACAGATGGGCCATGCTTCCAAGCCACTGGCCTTTCACTTCTCATGACACTGAATTCTCTCCCAGACATCATCTTTGTGATAACACTGAGGTCTAACTGCCAGCACTCCGTGACATGAGATTAACACTCATGGAAAAACACTGAGTGATTTGCTACTAGGTGGAATGATAGCTGTAGGGATATTTTTGACTTGAGAAAGATCCACTCTAGCCCATTTTTGTGAGCAGTTTTTAAATCACATTCACTCCCCTAGAGATGGAGAGTTATACCAGCAATTGGAATTCCAGGTGATGCTATGCGACCTAGGCAGATCAAGGAGAAGAGGCTTGGGAACTTTGCACAGCATCTTGTCCTGACCCATTTCCCCCACCCCATTCTGATTTCAGAAAGTTAAAAAAGATAAAGGAGGAGACAGAAACAAGGAATTGAAGGTACGTAAGAGAAAGAACGTGGGACTATTGGTCCCCGGTACTAGTGCAGCTGAGTGAGGATGATGCAGCTCAAGGAGTAGACACAAATGACTGAAGACACAGGCAGGACAGAAGTAGAGGGAAAATCCTGTCTAGTTCTCCTGAGTCCTCAGAGCTTTGCTTTGCTTTGCCTGCTTTATTGCTTCTTGCAAAACTATACTGAAGCAAGGCTCAGAACCTCCATTTTCTTTCCTCCCTAACTCAACACCAGCTTCTTCAGGGTGCTGAACACATGTGGGACACCCCTGTTACCTTCTCCTACCTTGCATGGCACGCTTGTCCATTCAGACCTCTGATGGGCAGTGTTTCCAAGCCACTGGTCTTTTACCTCTTATGACATGGAATTTATTCTCTCTCAGACACCACCTTTGTTATCACACCTGGATCTAGCTGCCAGAACTCTGTGACATTAGATTAAGGAGCACTGACACCCTTGCCTTGCTTCCAGATTCATGGAAAAACACTGACTGCGGGGCTGGGGATTTAGCTCAGCGCATAAGCACCTGCAAGCAGGCGGTCGTGAGTTCGATCCCTGGTACTGATAAAAATGAAAAGGACAAAAAAAAAAGAAAAAGAAAAAGAAAAACACTGAGTGCTTTGCTACTAGCTGGAATGGTACCTGTAGGAATGTTTCTGACTTGAGAAAGATCCCCTCTAGCCCATCTTTGAGCAGTTTTTAAATCAGATTCACTCCCGTGGGGATCCAGAGTTGTACCAACAATTTAAAGCTTCAGGTGATGCTATGGGACCTAGGGAGAGCAAGGAAAGAGAGCTTACAGAACCTTGTGTTCTGATGAACCTTGTCATCTGGTCCTGACCCATTCTCCCACCGCATTCCGATTGCAGAAAGGTAAAGAAGATAAAGGAGGAGACAAAAACAAGGAGTTGAAGATATATAAGAGAGAGAACATGGGGCTACAAGGACAGATGCAGATGTTCCTTTCATGGGGATCGTTTGGCTCCTCTATACACGGGGTTTTTTCCACAAAAGTATTTCTGCTTGTTCTATGCACCTGTAAAGTCCACAAGGCAGGGGTTTCCGCACTTCATACATAGGACAATGCAGCTCAGAGTGGACACAAGTGACTGAAGACATAGACAGGACAGAAGAAGAGGGAAAATCTTATAAAGTTCTCCGGGTCCTCAGAGCTACCAGGGGAAGCTCCCACTATGGAAAACTACCTGTGTCTGATGGTGACAAACACATTGTGGGCCCTTTGCTTTGCCTGGTCTGTTGCTTCTTGTAAAACTATGGTGGAGCCAAGGCTCAGATCCTCCCTTTTCATTTCTCTCTACTCAATAGCAGCTTCTTCAGGGTGCTGGACACATTTTGGATTGCCCTATTATTCCCTTCCACTTTCATGGCACGCCTGTTCATGCAGACCATAGATTCAAAGTGCTTCCAAGCCACTGGTCTTTCACATCTTATGACGTGGAATTTATTCTGCCTCAGAGACCACCTTAGTGTTCACACCTGGATTTAGCTGCCAGAACTCTGTGACATTAGATTAAGGAGCACTGACACCTTGCCTTGCTTCCAGATTCATGGAAAAACACTGAGTGCTTTACTCCTGGGTGGAATGGCAATTGTAGGAATGTTTCTGACTTGAGAAAGATCCCGTCTAGCCCATTTCGAGAAGTTTTTAAATCAGATTCCCCCTCCCCAGCAATTGAAAGTTCCAGGTGATGCTATGTGATCAAGGAGCAGGGACTTGGGGGACTTTGCACAGCATCTGGCCCTGACCCATTCTCCCACCACATTCTGATTGCAGAAAGGTAAAGAAGACAAAGGAGGAGACAAAAACAAGGAGTTGAAGGTATGTAAGAGAGAGAACATGGGGCTACTGGTCCCTGGTATCAGTGTCTTTAGAAGTCATAGAACCATCTCTGCTCCTACTGAGTTGATGCAGAATTGGTCTCCTGTCCCCAAAGTTTCCTCCTTATCAATGTGCACAAAATACATGGATGAGGAACCATGAAAAGTGGAAAGGTAAATGGGTTTTCCTGCATCTGTAGGGGCATGAAGGATCAGAAATAGGCACAGATGTCAATAGAAGCAAAGAGAAACCAGACCCTGAGGTTTGTGGGACTGCATGAGACCTCAGAAGGCAGCATGCTAGGCTGGTTCACAACTGAGGTGCAAGCACAGATGCAGAGGTTCCTCTTTGTGGGGACCCTTGCTTCCTCTCACACACTGTGGGTCTCTCTTCCATCAAAAGTGTTTCTGCTAGTTCTATGCACCTGTCAAGTCCACAATGCAACGGTTTCCCCACCTCGTAAATGAGGCCAGTGTTGCTTAGAGAGTGGACATAAGAGACTGAAGATATAAACACAACACAAGCAGAGGGAAAACCTTATCCAGTTATCCTGAGTCCTCAGGGCCACCAGGGGAAGCACCCACTATAGAGAACTACCTGTGTCTAATGGTGACAAACACATTGGGGGCCCTCTGCTTTGCCTGCTTGGTTACTTCTTGCAAAACTATGGTGGAGGCAAGGTTCAGGGCCTAACTTTTCCTTTCTCCCTACTCAACACCAGCTTCTCCAGGGTGATGAACACATGTAGGACACCTCTGTTATCCTCTCCTATGTTGCATACCATGCTTGTTCATTGAGACCTCTGATGAGCAGTGTTTCCAAGACACTTGTCTATCACCTCTAATGAAATGGAATTTATTCTCCCTCGGACACCACCTTTGTTATCACACCTGGATCTAGCTGCCAGAACTCTGTGACATTAGATTAAGGAGCACTGACACCCTTGCCTTGCTTCCAGATTCATGGAAAAACACTGAGTGCTTTGCTACTAGGTGGAATGGTAATCATAGGAATATTGCTGACTTGAGAAAGATCCAGTCTAGCCCATGTTTGAGCATTTTTAAAATCAGGTTTACCCCTGGATATGGAGAATTCTACCAGCAATTGAAAGTTCCAGGTGATGCTATGTGATCAAGGAGCAGGGACTTGGGGGACTTTGCACAGCATCTGGCCCTGACCCATTCTCCCACCCCATTCTGATTGCAGAAAGGTAAAGAAGATAAAGGAGGAGACACAAACAAGGAGCCAAAGGTATGTGAGAGAGAGAGAATATGGGACTATTGGTTCTTGGTACCAGTGCAGCTGAGTGAGGATGATGCAGTTCAGAGAGTGGACACAATTGACTGAAATTACAAGCAGGACACAAGTGAGGGAAAACCCTATCCAGCTTTCCTAGGTCCTCAGAGCCATCAGGGGAAGCACCACTATAGAGAACTACCTGTGTCTAATGGAGACAAGCACTTTGGAGGTCTTTTGCTTTGGCTGCTTTTTCACTTCTTGTAAAACTTTGTTGGAGCCAAGGCTCAGGGCCTAACTTTTCCTTTCTCCCTACTCAACACCAGCTTTTCCAGGGTGCTAAACACATGTAGGACACCCCTGTTTTCCTCTCCTACCTTGGATGGTATGCTTGTTCATGCAGACCAAAGATGCAAAGTGCTTCCAAGCCACTGGTCTTTCACCTCTAATGACATGGAATTTATTCTCCCTCAGATACCACCTTTGTAATCACACCTGGATCTAGCTGCCAGAACTCTGTGACATTAGATTAAGGAACACTGAGACCCTTGCCTTGCTTCCAGATTCATGGAAAAACATTGAGTGCCTTGCTGCTAGGTGGATTGATAGCTGTAGAAATATTTTTGACTTGACAAAGTTCTCCTCTAGCCCATTTTTTGCACAGTTTTTAAATTAGATTCACTCTCCTGGGGATCCAGAGTTGTACCAGCCATCAGAAGTTGCAGGTCATGCTATGGGAAGTAGGCAGAGCAAGGAACAGGGACTTGGGGAACTTTGCACAGCATCTGGTCCTGACCCATTCTCCCACCGCATTCTGATTGCAGAAAGGGAAAGAAGATAAAGAAGGAGACACAAACAAGGAGCCAAAGGTATGTTAGAGAGAGAACCTGGGACTACTGGTCCCTAATATCAGCTTCCTTGGAAGTTATTGAACTGTCTCTCATCCCACTGCATTGATTCAGATTTGGTCTCCTGTCCCCCAAAGCCCCTCCTTATCCATGTGCACAGCTTACTAGGACGTTGAACGATGGGAAGTGGAAAGGTAAATAAGCATTTGCCTGAGTCTGTAATGGGATGAAGTGACTAGAGTTAGGCACAGAAGTCAATAGAAGCAAAGGGGAACTAGCCTCCAGAGGCCTGTGGGGCTGCTTGAGACTTCAGGAGGCAGCATGCTAGGCTGGTTCAGAACTGAGGTGCAAGCACAGATGCAGATTCCTCTTTGTGGGGATCCTTTGCCTCCTTTCACACACAGTGGGTCTCTTCCATCAAAAATGTTTGTGCTGGTTCTATGAACCTGTTAAGTCCACAAAGCAATGGTTTCCCCACTTCATAAATGAGGACAGTGCAGCTCAAAGAGTGGAAACAAGTGACTGAAGACACAGGCAGGACAGAAGCAGAGGGAAAACCCTGCGCATCTCTTCTGGGTCCTCAGAGCCTCTAGCAGAAGCACTGACTGTAGAAAATTACCTGTGTCTAATGGTGACAAACACTTTGGAGGTCCTCTGCTTTGCCTGGTTTGTTGCATTTTGCAAAACTGTGCTGGAGCCAAGGCTCAGTGCCTCCCTTTTCCTTTTTCCCTACTCAACACCAACTTCTCGGGGTGCTGAACACATGTAGGACTCCACTATTATCCTCTCCTACCTTGCATGGCATGCTTGTTCATTCAGATCACGGACAGACGGTTCTTCCAAGCCACTGGCCTTTCACCTCTAATGACAATGAATTCATTGTCTCTCCAACATCACCTTTGTGATCACACCTAAGAACACTGCTTCCCGAATGACTGGCAAAAGAAGAGTTCAAAGATGTGTGCCTGCCATGTCCAACCTTCCACCTGTGTTTTTTCTCCTTTCTCCCTTTAAAATTATAATAAAAAATTAAAAATAAGGCACTTTGCTACACAGTTAAATTAATGAACTATATTATATTTTTATATAGCCTAAGACAAATTTCTCTTCACTCAAAAAAACATTAGAAAAACGAAAAAAGGAAGAGGAGAGACAAGTAGCAGGCCACATATTGGACACAGTTGGATCCAAGTTCTTTTATGAAACAATAAAAATCAATCTTTAAAAATAGGTATACATGAAAAAACACAGAATATGAGATTCATTTATAATCAAAAAACTGAACATTCATAGCTCTACTTTTTAAATTTTCTGTGACAGTACCTATATGCTTGGTCTCAGTCTCTGTGTTAATCTAATCAGTAAAAGATAAGGAGCTGAACAAACCGTCAACCAAGATACTCTAATGGGTGAAGACACAAGACATCCCACATACCCAAAACAGGCAACAAAGCAGAACAAATGCCCTAGCCAAAACGCCAGAAATGGGACAGACTGTTAGGATAAAACTTTCAGAAAATAACTGTTGTGCTCAACCTAAGCACTTACAGAAAAATCTGTAGCCCCATCCTGATCTATGCTGGCCACAGCAGAGCGGAAAGTGTGGACCGCCACCCTTCCCACATGACAGTGAGATCCCCACCTCCTCTGCTGGGGGATGGTTTCAAGAAGATTCCATAGACAGCTGTGGGTGGAAAGCTGACACTGTGAGGAGAATTGCCTTATTTACTGTATTGAGTCTTATAATTTATGAGCATGATTTCTATGTCTTTTTACTCATATATCTCCAATTTTTAGCAGTGTATATGTTAGTATAGCTTCTACCATAATGATCCTATACATATTTTGTTAGACTTACAATTTAGTATTTCACACTAAAATCATCATAAGTGGAATTTATTTCTGAAATGGAGATTGTGAGTTCATTGTTAGTGGTCAAAATGTAATATTTTTGCTTGTATCCTATAACACTGATGCACGCACTTACTAGTTCTAGGAGGGCTTTCTATCCATGCACCATCATGCCATCTGCAAAGGCACTTTCCTTTCTCACTTTGTGATCAGTGTGCTCTTGGTTCCCTTTGCTCACCTTATTGCCCTGACTCTAACTTCTAGCACTCTGTGACATACGATTAAGGAGCACTGCACCCTTGCCTTGGTGCCAGTTTGATGGAAAAGCATTCAGTGCCTCCCTACTTGGTGTAATGCTAGCTGTAGGATTTTTTTTGTAGATGCTTGTTTTTGTTGTTGTTGTTGTTGTTGTTGTTGTTGTTGTTGTTGTTTTTGGTCTTTTTCATTTTTATCGGTACTAGGGATCGAACTCACGACCGCCTGCTTGCAAGGCAGGTGCTTATGCCGCTGAGCTAAATCCCCAGCCCCCGTAGATGCTTGTTTTCCACTTGAGAAAATTTACTTCTACTCCACTTTTCTGAGCATCTTTTTCTTTTTGTCATGAATGGGTAAGTTCTATAAAACACTTTTTCAACATCAATTGAGATGGTTATATTATTTTTTTTGCTTCAGCTTGGAAACATGGAGAATTACATTGATTGATTTTCAAACAGTAAATTAGGTGGGACCCAACTAGATCATGATGTGTGATTCTTTTTGTATATACCTGAATTATTTTACTAATATTTAATAAAAGACTAATAGTAAGGATTTTACCTTTTTCATGGTGGATGATGTTGGACATCTTTTATAGTGTTTATGGACCATTCATAAGTCACTTATTAAGTATTTTGTCATAAACTTTCTCATCATTATTTGGTTCCATTGCATGATTGAACTGAAATCCATGTATTGAATTCCCTATTGATGCATATTTAAATTTCTTAATATATGTAATTTTACCTGACTAAAATGACTAATTTTATATACCTTTATGCCAGTGAACTATTGTTTCTCATGTCTTGCCTCTGTAATCACATTGTGAGCATATCTGCAGGGAAGAATGAACATTTTGCTCAATAAGGGTCCTACAGTTGGAATCCATCATGATAGGTGCCAGCATAATAGGTGCCCTATGACATAATTGTGCTCTTCCCTTCTCCACTCTTTCTGTCAACTTGTGGTTGGAGGAGTACAGACCTAAGCATGATGTAATTATTTAGAATGTAACCAATGGCAATTTAGCAGATCACAGGCCTGAAGGGATTTGAACAATCTATCTGCAATTTAGATGTGAGGAATATAAATGCCCATCTGTTATAGGCACTTAGCATTAAGTAAACGAGTCCCCCCACACACACAGAATTGCAGGCAGAGGAAGGTGGCTTTTCACAGTTAATCAAAGCATGGGCCCTATATCTAGGAATGCTAGGTAAGTGAGGAATTAAAAATTGGTAGTGAGCAATTCCAAGAGCAATCTATACAAACCTCCCTCCCTTAACTCTGATTTCAGAAGACCATCAAATTTAGAAAAACCATAATCAAACATGATGAAAAAACATTGAAAGGGAAAGAAGCAAAAAAGGTAAGGCCCAAGAATATCATCCCCAACCCAAAGTATGAGTGCAGGTTTCCAAGGTTAGAGGTGACCCTTGAGCTGCCATATCTCTAAACCTTGTCACCAAAATGATGGTAGTCTACTCTGTGGTCCACAGAATTAAATGGCCATAGAATGTATTGTCCAAAACAAGGTGCATTTATGAAACAATTGTATTTCTACTAACCATTATTCAGAATAAGCACCAGAAACCAAAAATGTTCCAGTTGACCAGAAGTGGGTGCCTTATCTGAGGCTGGATGAACAGCATTAACTCATGCTTTGCTGTCTTCTCCCCCAGTCTCTCTAGCAGATGGAGTAAGGCAGATAACTGAGACAGGCAGATTTGGTGGGGGAGGAGAAACTGAGGAGTGGGAGTTTGGAATCTGGGGAGTGGTGTCATGAGGACTGCTGGGGAATGCATGGCCAAGCTAAGGGAATCCCAAGGCCAGATTTCTGCAGGAGCCTGTACACACGTGTGCACACGTGTGTGGGTTAGTAGACACTGAAGGCACGGAACCAAGAGCAGTGAAGGTGAGAAATCAATGAGAAAGGCTCCAGGCTGTGTGGGGCAGAGACACTTTTAATAGTGGGATTAACAGAGGGAGGAGCAGGCCGTGGATGGAGGTGGTGACAGGGAAGGGAGGGCAGGGGGAGCAAAGGATGCCACTTCCCCATAGGTAGGAGGGTCTGAAGGGCAGGCGAGGAGTTGTAGGTAGGTAGTGAGACCCAGGGGCAGCCTATGGATCCGAGGACTCTTGCTGCAAACTGGCCAACCAGGTCCATGGAAAACCAAGGGCAGAAGGGCTCACCTCTCAGGACGAGGACCCTGAGACTCGGAGGTGGGGGTGTTGTGTGTGCACATTAAGTGACACAGCAGAGAGAAGCAGCCAGAGGCAGGGTATCTGCCTGGTCATTAGCTTTCATTGTTGCCCTCCCAGTTGCTCAAGCTTCAGGGGAAAACACAGTTGCTGGCAGAGAATGAGGAAACTTCACTGATACTCCGCGGGGTTGAAATTTTGGAGAATGTCCTAAATGTCATTTCTTTACCTTGCATGGCCCCTGCTGCTCAAAATGAAGAAATCTCCTGACCTCGAAAAGGCATCTATAATGATCCAGGCCTGGTGGCGGGGCACGCTGGTGAGGAGGATGTTGCTGCATGCTGCCCTCAGTGCATGGACCATCCAGTGCTGGTGGAGGCAGATATGTACCATGCAACTGGTGAAGCAGCGGTGGGAAGCCCTGGAGTTCTACAAGCGGCAAATCTGGGCGACTGTGAGGCTGCAGTCCTGGGTCCGAATGTGGCTCATCCGCCAGCGATACCGTAATATGCTCAGTGTTGTCCACACCATCCAGGACCATTGGTGTGGTCATATCTGTCAATCTCATGATACTTTCCAGGGCAGCTATGAGCTAATAGGAGACCGCCTAGTACTTCAACTCGACATCTTCCTAGGATCCCAGGTTTGTCGCATTACAGACTGCATCCCCTTTCCAATAAAGAACTGACCAAGTCTGCTCCAAATACTGGATGAGTCACTACATCTTTGCTAGATGAGTCCATAGAGGCTCCCAATTTAACAAAGGGTCAGGAAAAATAATAAGTTAAAGTGTCCCTTAAAATTTTGCTCTGGGAGATGAGCAGGGAAGGAATGTCTGGGCCTCTGGGGACAGAAGGGTGTGAGAGCCTCACGGGATGAGCAGGGTGATTAGCAATGTCTGCTCTGTTGGGAAGGGTCAGCTTCAGAGTCTCCTAGGCCTCTAACTCCAGGGGGCCTCCTCACTGCTGTCTGTATCAATGGAGGCCCGGAGCTGTGCACCGTTTTTCACTCTTTGTCCTGCAACACTTTTGCCCTTTGCACCCACAAGGTGAAAAGCCCTTCCCCTTCCCACTCATGCTCCTCATGATCCTGCGTGCTCTGGACCTGACCACTGCACCCTCCTGAGCTGTTCCCTGGCTGCTCTTCTAGTCATCAGGCCCCAGAGCAGGTTGTGCCAAGAGTGCTGCATCTCAGCACTTTGCCTTGGCCCCATCTTCCCAAAGAGTTTCATTTCATTCAGGTTTGTCTCTGCACACATCCGTTGCTCTTTCCATGACAATCTCCTTTGTGCACCTAACTTCAATGGTTTTTTCCCTTTGGTTCTACTTTCTGTTTGCAAAGTTCCCATCATGAGGCACGGTTATTTTATTTCACTTCACTGTCCACATAGTTTTTATTAGTACATGTTTGCAGTACACAATGATTACATTTATCATGTGCATAACAGATCTTAGTTTTGTTTTGTTTGGATTTTTTAAAAATTCTTATTCCTCATTTTCCTCCCTGCTGTTTCTGACTCTTGGTCCTATTCTCATATGCCAAAGCTCCATTTTCATCATGTTTTTCTCCTTCAGTTCTTTTGTTTCCAACCACTTTTCCTCCTCTTCCTACCCCTTCCTCTATTGTTCCCCATTCATTTACTTCCTATTTAGCTATTATATATGATAGATGTTATATTTATCCACATCAATCATATAGATATAACCTTATAAATATGATATATATATTTTTCACAATGTTACAGTTTCAAATTGCATCCATTTTCCTACAGATACCTCAGCAAGTGAGTAAAGAAAATGTCCATCTAGCTTCTGTCCCTCCTACTTGAGGGTGAGCTGCAGGGGACCAGGGCTCTCAGCCAGGCTCTGGCACATGAGTGGCCAATCTTTTGCTCCCTCAGGCTGCAGTGAATATAAAGGAATTGTCCTGTGCTGCATATGAAATATGTAATACAGTTCACATGTATAAGTAACAAGCCTTCCTTTTACATTTTAACTTATTAAATTATTTTATGAATAAATGGCAAACCCAATTTTAATAATTAGATAAGAAACCTTACATGACTGCTCAATAATCATGAACACATGTCTGCAAAAGCACACACAGGTATGTATGTTTACTAGTATTGGTGAACTTTACATTTTAGTCAGCAAGTTTCCCAAGAACATGTAACCTCTGATACTCAGAGTTAGATTTGACTGTGGATGGCAGGTACATTAGGCAAGGTTACCTCTACACTGTCACACATGCACACACACACACACACACACACACACACACACGCACACGCACACGCACACACGCATGCACCCACACAGTGTTTTTTAATCTCACACAGTCCATACTTCAATACCATACAATTTAATCACTAAAACTAACAAGGTTAAAAGCTTATATTCTTGGAGCCACGTGACTATCTGTCCAAGGCTGCACACAGCCCAAAGGCTGTGCATTGGACACACCTGCTCTAGCATGTACCCAGCACGGAGTGGGTCCAACTCTCCTGCCTAGCCAGTCCTAAGCTCTGCCTGTCCTATCTTGTCTTTACATGAAAATGCCAACAAGTCCTGGGGCTAAGCCCTGCTTTTTCTCCTATCTGTTGCCATATCTCAGAATTGGAGCTCCCCCTGTGAGCCTGTAAGGATACAGTGATGCCCACTCCATGACCTGTGAGGACAGCAACTCTTTGCTGAGCTGCTTCAGTGTCTGTTCCTGTGGCTACACCTCACTGACCATCATATGAGAGGACAGAACTCTGTGTGTGTGTCTGTGTGATTAACATGAAATTCCTATGACTAAAGCTACATGGGGATTAATATAAGATGAACAAGCAACTGGTACCTAGTCCATTCCTGTTTAAAAAAAAAACCACTACCAATATCGAGTTCTAAAACAGCTGTATCACCCTAAAAGAAAATCCCATACCCATAAATGGGATTCCCCACCACCTCTCCAGGTCCCAGCAACCCCTATTGTACATTCTGTCTCCATAGATTTGCCTATTTTGCTTACATCCTACAAACAGAAACATAATAATGCAATATTTGTTGACTACTTTCAATGAACATAGTGTTTACAAGGTTCAGTTACACTGTATCAGTATTCAGTACTACATTACTGAATAATATTCCAGTGCGTGGAAGCATCACACTGTTTTCCATGTATCTGTTTTTTTCCATGTGTCTGTTGATGGATATTAGATTGCTTATACTTTTGTCTCTTATGAATAATGCCAGTATAAGTAGTGGTATAAATGACAATTGTGTCATTTATACACCACCAAACATGTTCAAAAATTCCAATTTTGTATAACCTAGTCATTGTTATAAATTATTACCATCTTATTGGTGTGAAATAGTGTTCTTTGTGGTTCTGATTTACATTTCTTTAATGACTAAGGATATTGAACATCCTTATCTGATTATTGGCCACATGTAGAGTATCTTCTTTGGACAAATGTCTACTCAAGAGCTTGAAAATAATTTTCTTTGGGTTTTGTTTATCTTTTGTTGTTTCCATTAATATTTCTGCAGTGAATGAATATATGATCTGGCTTTACATGACTCAAATCCTACTACCTAGGAACAAGTGTCCCACCACCCCTGAATCATTTTCTCTGCCAACTATCCATATTCTTCTCTCCCAATAGGCACTTTGTTCTGACTTATCATTTGTCTCTCACAGTGTTGGTGTGTGTGTGTGTGTGTGTGTGTGTGTGTGTGTGTGTGTGTGTGTGTGTGTCTGTATATGTATGAGTGGGCAGAGTAAGTCTACTGCTGTCCCTCCATTTCATGTATGTATAACACTCTCCATTCTGTTGGTTTTGTGTGTCTCTGTGTCTGTCTGCCCCTTCTCAAGTGTGTTCATGTTCTTCTCCCTCTATCTTTGTCTTTCTCTGTGTACATCTCTGCTAATGAAATATCTTTGCATATATGCTTCAGTGATTCATGAATTTTCTGGCTCTGTAAATTTCTGGTAAAATTCATGAATATCTAATCCTTAGATATAATTTTGCTCTTCTAAACTCTGATTACACTTAATATCCCCACAAAACAAGATGGAGAAGCTACAGAGGAGACACCAATGTGGGTGCTCCAGAGGGTTGGATTTATTTCACAGCCAGGCTCTATCCAGGATGTACAGGTGCTCAGAAGAATATGACAGCACTGATACTCTGATGATACATTTATAGACAGATAGGTAATAGATAAATGATTGGTAGAAGAATGAGTGCATGACCCATGCCAGGCCAGTGAGAGTCAGTTCTGAGGCAAAGCTGGCACTACTGGTTTTGCTAGGGTAGAGGAAAGAGATAATTTCTACCATCCCTTAGTAATTATGTAGCTTCTTTGGCTGGATCTAGGAACTGTGTTAATACAAGGCTGACTAACTAGACAAAGGTGTGTAAGATTTATCAAGTTTCTGTACATTGGAGTTTTCACAAGAGGATAGCATCTGAAGAAACATATGAGAGAAGATACTCTTACATTTTTAGACAAAGGACAATCAATTCATGAAGGAATAACAGAACAAATGGAATTCTGAGCTAATATATGTGGGGGGCATATTATAAGTCATTGAAAGACAAGGGTTACTCCAATGAGTTTATTTATTCAGGTTTATTGTAGCCTCGATAATCAGTATCTAATAAGTAAGGTTACTTCTTACCTCAGTATGGGAAAACCACCACTCCCAAAGTAATCTTGATCACTTGTCAAGTACAGTGAAAGACAAACAAACAGATTCTCTGAAGCTATAGTTCCTCATGTAACCCCAGCTTGAAACAATCAACATATTACTTTGCAAGACCCAGTACAAAAAAAAAAGTATACAGAGCAAAGCAGAGCCACGAAAAGATTAACTCATGATGATGCTGGGGTGGGGGTACATCTCTAGATCTACCATGATTGAAACTAGTCTGACCCTATGATTAAAAAAAACCTCAGTTTTTGTATCAATAAACACATTTACACTTATGTCAGTCTGGAAAAACAGATAACAGAGCACTAAAACCCTAAACAAATTAAGAAACACTTTAAAATGTTGAATTTTAGGGACTGGAGATTTAGCTCAGCGGCATAAGCGCCTGCCTTGCAAGCAGGCAGTCATGAGTTTGATCCCCGGTACCGATAAAAAGGAAAAAGACAAAAAAAAAAAAAATGTTGAATTTTAAAATCTAGCAAGTGAAATTCAAATTTAACTAGTTTTTAAAATAAGAACTTGGAGAGAGAACTAGGGGATCTGCCTGCCTGCCTGCTGGGCGCAACCACTGAAAGGCCCTTTTCTCTGTGAGCCCAGTGTGGGCAGAGAGAACCAGAAGACCCACCTCTGCCTGCAGGGCACCAACACTGGAAGGCCCTTTCCTCCACAAGCCCAGGCCGGGCCAAAGGAGACAGACAGATCCACATCTGCCTGCTGTATGCTGCCACCCAAAGGCCACTTTCTACAGGTGGCCCTGTGGGCAGAGAGAACCAGCAGATTCACCTTCACCTTCAGGTAGCTGCCACCAGAAAACTCCTTCCTGCAGGCAGCCAGCAGGAGCAGGGACACAGCCAGTTAAGCCCTGTGCACCTGTAAGCCACCACTGGAGACCTTTGGTTCCTTCAGATAGCCATCATCTACTAACAGAATCAGACAAACAATCCTCTGTGTTGCAGCCACCATTGTGGGAATCCCAGTGTAGACACT